GAACATATGATTGTGTCAGAAAACAGATTACAGAATCTGTCAAGTCATATGAAGCTTCTAAAAATAATGGAACCAGAAACATCAAGTAGCAGTTCACCTTGATGCTTTCAGAGAGGTCTAGCTGTAGAAGAATATTTTTGTTCAAAAATAGTCTGAGTAGTTATAAACACAAAGACCTTTGTAGTCAAACAGTAAGCATAACCTAGACTTTCTTATATATGAATTAAAGGTTCAAATAAATAGAAATTCTGCTTTTAGACTATAAACGTTTAACTTAGATTTTGTAATTTTAATATTACTAGAAGTAAACAGCAGTTTGTAGATATATAGTAGATATATAGGTAGTAGATCTCAACTCTTTCCCATAATCATTTTTATTGTCAATATAGAAAAGGAGGGGCCCGCCCCATGGCGTAGTGGTTAAGTGCATGCTCTCGGATGCTGGCGGCCGGGGTTCGGATCCTGGACGCACACCCACGCACCACTTGTCAGGCCATGCTGTGGCGGCATCCCACATAAAGTGGAGCAAGATCAGCACGGATGTTAGCTCAGGGCTGATCTTCCTCACAAAAAAAAAGAAATTTTTAGGACAATTTAATTGGAAACATTTTAATATCAAAGAAAATCTTGGTCTTCATCTCAAATACTTAAAATTTTTGAATAAATAATTGTAAAGTTGTAATGAACCTTTAAGAAAGTTGTAACGAACCTTTAAGAAGTGTATAATCTTTTATTTATTTATATTTATTTATTTTTATTTTTTGTGAGGAAGATCAGCCCTGAGCTAATCATTGGCATGGCTAATCCATGCCAATCCTCCTCTTTTTGCTGAGAAGACTGGCCCTGAGCTAACAGCTATTGCCAATCCTCCTCTTTTTTTTTTTTTCCCCCTTTTTCTCCCAAAGCCCCAGTAGATAGTTGTATGTCACAGTTGCACATCCTTCTAGTTGCTGTATGTGGGATGCGGCCTCAGCATGGCCCGACAAGTGGTGTGTCGGTGCGCGCCCGGGATCTGAACCCGGGCTGCCAGTAGTGGAGCGCGCGCACTTAACCACTAAGCCACGGGCCGGCCCAGAAGTGTGTAATCTTTTAAATGGCACTGGTCAGTTTAAGACTACTGCATTACTGCTACCGCTGAGAGGCTTCAAGCGTTGGCAGAACAGAAGGGAAAAGGCCCTAAGTATTTTTCTTCTTTTTGCAATATAAAACTTCTTTGAACTTTCTGGGCATGTGCACTGAATCTGGACGTCACCCTTTAATGAAACCCTGTGGTTAAGGTCGGAGAGGCTGTTGCTTTAGTAGGATGTTATGTTGTATTTTGCCCCATTGCTTAAGATAGTTATAGTAATTTTGAGTTCACCTAATCACCTAAAATTTAGGCTTGGCATGACAAGGCTAATGGGGTTCTCCTGGGCAGTTGGAAAGATGGAGTACACATCTTTCTAGCCTTTGTCCAAACCAGTCCTCAGCCTCTCTCCATTCATTAATTCACTGAAAAAGTATGCGTGGTATTGGATGTAAAAGTGAATAAAAAATTCTTGGTTTTAGGGATCCAGAATATAGTGTGATTAACTATAATGAATTAGTGGTTCTGGAAAAAGGGAAAAATACATCTAAGATAAAACCAAACGCCTGTGGACAGCATTTGCAATTAAACTAGGTGACAAGCTTTTTCCACAAACCCCCAAACATCAGCGGATGGGAACAAATCACCAAACGGTAGTGGTTTCTGTGCGAGTAGAAGGAAGAATTGGGGTGGCGTCTGACGGACTTGAGAAAAGGAGGGTCACGAATCAGCCAACTGGAGCTTGGTGTTTTGTCCTCTCCAATTGTGAGGGCAAGGTGCCCAACAGTAAGCACTGGAGAGACTGGAGGAGCAGTGGAGCCAGGGAGCTCTCAGAAGGGACCTGCCAAGACCGGACTTCCAGGGACAGGACCCCATACTGAGGAGAAAGTACTGAAAGTGGAATCAAATGGAGCAGGATCGAGACGAGACAAGGAGAGGGCCTAGATCAAACCGGAGGAGGGGAACATAGCCCTCTTAGAAAATCTTAGCTTCCGTATTTCTGAGCACTACTCAAAAACAAAAGGTAGCTCTGTAAAGTCAGAAAAGCTCTCCTGAATCGTGCATCATTCTGAAAGTTCAGGAAGATAATTTCACATAAAAGTGAGCGATAGGAAAAAAAAATGTCAAATTTCATAAAAGGTTATCAGGATGTAGTACAGTAGGTCTCCCCCCTTATCCTCAGGGGATATGTACCCTACTGGATGCCTGAAACTGTGAATAGTACTGAGCCCTATATATACTGTGATTTTTCCTATACATATATGCCTGTGATAAAGTTTATAAATTTAGGCACAGTAAGAGATTAACAACAGTAATACAATTGAACAGTTATAACATCTACTGTAATAAAAGGTGATAACTGAGAGCTACGAAGTGACTAATGGGTGGGTAGCGTATGCAGCACAGCTAGACAAAGGGATGATTCAAGGCTGGGACAGGACAAGTGGGATGGTGCAAGATTTCATCAAGCTATTCAGAACGGCGTGCAATTTAAAACTTAGGAATTATTTATTTCTGGAATTGTCCGTTTCACATTTTTGGACCACCAGGTACCAGAAACTGTGGAAAGTGAAGCCGGGGATAAGGGGGGGACTGCTATATGTACGAATGCTTTAGTAAACATAAAATAGAGGAAGGATCTTTGGAGAGTGAATTTAGAGGAAAGGTTTTAGCAAAGCGTTCATGGAGAATGTAGCACTGACCTGGGCCCACCTTGCCACCTAAATCCGAGTTGATGTTGAGCTCTGTTTATAGTGCATCCTGAAGGAGGCTTTAGTACTGGTTCCCGACGTGTTCTCACAGGATGTTTTCATTCTGGCCCTGCCTATTATGTGCTGTGTGTTATCAGACTGGAAAGGGAGGAGGTTATATGTGATTTATTTACTTATGAGGACAAAAGGGAAGGACAAAGAACTTCGAGAGACAATTGTGTTAACTAATTCCATGCAGGGTTTTGATCCACTTGCCTTCTGCTCCCTCTCCTATCCCTACTTTCTTCCTTATGTAGCTTAGACTACTGGGCCTATCATATCATCACTGTTATTCTGCCAGTTGCCTCATTAGTTCCAAACCGTTCTTGGTGTCTGCCTTCTCTCATCGCATATCCAATTATTTTATTCAACAAATATTGTGACATACTAGGCACTCTTCTAAAGCACTGGAGCTACGGCATGGGTCAAAACAAAAGTCCTTGTGCTGGAGTTTAGCCTAGTTGGCGGTAGGAGGAGCATAAATATACATGGTGATAAGTGCTATAAAGAAAGATAAGGAAAGAGTGGAGAGAGATGCTGTTTATAGATGGTGCTCAGAGAAAGCCTCTCTGAGGTCTCCACTGAACGTAGGCTCCAGGAGGGCACGGAACTTACCTGCCTCGCTCATGGCCGCATTTCCCGTGCTTGGAATGGAGACTGGCACGGAGGAGACACTCAATATCAGTTGGATGACTAAATGTTGTGGAGCATGGAGGAATTCCTCCGTTTTTTATGTAGGTCAGCAGGCACAGCTGATCTTCAATTGTCACGTCACCCCAGTGCATTCCTCACTGAAATGTAGGAGGAAGCTGTCGCCTCTTATGAAGCCAGCGACCGCAGATCAGACGTCACCTGTCATGACTTAGTCACACTTGACCATCCTGGCTGGGCCAGGGCAGCGTCGGGCCCGTATCTGGTAGCCTGCGTCACCAGGAGCGTTTCGTGAAGGAACACTGAGGACTGCAAAGCCGCAGATCCCCGAGGGCAGGGCTGAGCTTCTGCTCGTGTCATGGGCATATAACACGTTTGCTGAATGAACGAATGATGACCAACCAATAAATCACCACTCTCCACGGCGAGCAGGCTTGGGAGAGGGCCCCGCTGCGGGTCCGGATGTAGGGGCGACACTTTGCCTGCGGAAGTGTGTGTGGGGCCCGAACTCCGGAACGCGGGCCCTGCTCGAGGGCCGGTAAAGGCTGCACAAGACCGGGCATATTCGACCGCACCCGGGAACCCGGAACCGCGTCCTGCGCGTGCGTCCGCGGGCGGCCTGCCCCGCCCACCAGCTGCCTCTTGGCTTTCATTGGCTGCCTCGCGGAAGGCCGGTGCCGGCTAGATAAGCTCCCGTAACCTGACGTCCTTCCGCAGCCAATCACAAGCAGCGACCCCCAGCCTTGTCCAATGAGCTCAGGCGCGGGTCACGGCGCGCGGAGTTTGATTTTCCTCCGAGGACGCGGAAGTAGTGAGCGGGTCCCGGAGGTGGCGGCAGGTGGGTGGCGCAGGGGTGGCGGCGGTCGGGCCCCAGAGCGACCCCGCCGAGCGAGGGCTCCAGGCCAGCCCGGGGCAGTGGGGCCCTGACCCCTGTGGCCTGACGGAGCCTGCCGCGGCTGCCGCGACGACCGCGGCTGCACGTCCGGGGCCAGGAGGCTCGGCCGCGGAGCTCGGCGAGTTCGGCCCCCGGGAGCCTGGGCCACAGCCAGTGACCCGACGCGCGCCGGCTCGGCCCGCGCCTTGGCGGTCGGGTGACCCGATCGCGCGCCCGTGTGGGGTTCGTATTCCTTGTCTTCACAGCCGGTAGGGGGGTGTGCGTGAGGAGGAGCTGCTGCCCACTTGGTTAAAGCCCTGCCCGGCCCGCGGCTGCACCCGGAGCTTTCGGGAGGGGCCTCGCTTGACGCTCCTGCCGCGCGTCCAGTCGTGTGGTCGACGGTATTTAGTGACCGGCCCTTCGCGGGCTCGGACGTCTCTGAACTCCCGGTGCGGTGTAACCGGGGACTCGGCGTTTCCTCGCCAGCCCTTCCCCCGCCGCGCTCCTCTCCCTCTGACTTCGGAGTCGTGCTGGCCGAGGAGAGTCGACGGTGGTTAAGATACGAGGGAAGGGCTCATCCGGGCTGCGTAATACGGTTTATGCGGCAGTTATTTATTTGTCGAGTAATATTTTCTAAATTTTTTTCCCTAAAGGTCTCAAGAAACTGATAATGTTTCCTTGAATTTGCTTCTGTGTTTGCTTCGTCAATGTCTGTCCTATTGAATGTCTTAAGAGAGATGCTGGAGTACTTTGGTGTTCCCATAGACCAGGTAAATGTCTTTTAATGGATTCGAATGAAGCTGTTGTATTTGTTCTTGGGTCTCATTTTGAAAATGATTTATATGTGAACATTTAATTTAAGGTGACATTGTTACTTTCCTTTACGTATAACAAAGGTGAGTTTGTAATAGTATAGCTTTGATAGTTTGAGTTGAAAAAGGAACAAGATTATTAGGAACCTATTTACCTGATAGGTGAAATGCTGACAGAAGATACAAATGAAGCAAAACATAGACATGGCCTTCATAGAATTACATTTATTGCATAGATAAAATATATTTTGGATTATCTCGTGGTTTATTTAAGGTAACTTAAGTTTGATATTTGGGTAGAGAATGGCAAGTTATAGCTCGACAAATTCAGAATAAATCTTAACGAGAGAGGATGACATAGGTCTGAGAATTATAAGCAAATCCAATTTTGTCTGCTTATTGAGCATCTACATCTAAGACAGTATGCTTGGTCTGTGGATGATACAGAGTAGCAGTACATGGTTCGTGTATTCATGGTGCTTGAAATATGAGGAATAAGAAACTTACACAGATAATTATAATACAAGACTGAATATAAGAAATACACAAAATAGTAGGGGGGCTTACAGAATGGGCAAATCCACGCTATTTGGTGTGGTGAATTAGAAGAAAGTAGTCAATGATAATTCCAAGATTTTAGATAAAAGTAAGTTGAAGAATGATGGTGTCATTATTATAAATAAACAACTCAGTGTGAGGAACTAGTTTTGAGTTGGGAGGTAAGGTGAGCCAGATGTGCTTTTGGAATATATAAATACAAATATCCTGCATATAATTGGATATATGGTTCTAGAATGTAGAAAAGAAAAGAGATTCAGATCTGGAGTTCTCTGTGTTGTTTTGATATTTGAACCCATGGGCTTTGCTGACATAATGGAAGATGTCCTTGGGTGTTTTTGAAGCATTTGAATTTCCGAAATAGTGAGATTGAAGATAAGGAGGACTGAATAATGGTTGAAGATTTGCTTATCATTAGATTATTGATGCCTTTAGGGATTTATCTAGGTGGAGAGTGGCAGGCAAATTGTAGTAGTATGAGGCATGACTGAGGTAGCATCAGCAACCTTCTTTTGAAAAGTTTGTGAAGAGAAATCGAGAGAGGGCATCAACTTGAAGGAGCAGCAGGATTGAATTTTCTTTTCAACATTAGAGGTAACTTGAGCATGTTGTGCAAGTATTGGGGCAGAACCTCATAGACAGGGAGCAATTTAAGATACAAATGAGAGAGAGAGTGATTGAGCAACGCAAGGCATATGAATACATAAGCCTTGGAAAGAAGGTGCACAGTCAAGAGGAGAATAAAAGCGTGAGATGGTGGAGAGATTTTTTTGTGGAGAGAAATGGAAATTGATGTGTGTCAAATTGTATCCTTGGTTTTCTCAGTAAGAGCAGAGGTAAGGCCACTTGCAGGTAATGGAGATGATGGCGTTGGGGATTTCACAGATCGGTGATTGCTTTGGGTGACACAGTAGGGATCATAACATGTTGTGAAGGGGTTGCAGAATACCCAGCTGAAGTCAGCATGGATTACTAGTCTTTCCAAATATTGTCATTTTGTGATGTTTTTTCTCTAGCTAAGAGTGGTTGGAGTAATTTGTCCATTAGTAATACGAGAACACATAATATCAAAAGGATGAACCATTTTTGAGTGGCAATGAGCATATCACTGAAACAATTAATTTGAAAATCCCTGCTTGGTAGGAAAGTCAGTAAAGTCAAAATGAGGATGCTGGACCGGGAATAGGAGAAGGAGGTGAAAGCATAAGAATGGTGAAGATGGTCAATGGCAGTGAAGGGATGAGAGAGAAGGACAAGAGTTTGTCAGGATGGAAATTGCAGAGCAAGATATGAAGGTACCATTCGAGTTAACCAGTAGTTGGGTGACTTTTTGTATAGTATGTAGCCCTCACTGTAGCAAAGCTTCTAGGCCTGTGGTTCTCAGCAAGGGTGTACATATGAGTGGCCTGTAAAACACTTTAAATATAATTGCTCAGGGCGGCAGAGATTCTAGTGTTAATGGGTCTGGGATCTGTATCCTCTAGGCTGCGCTCTTCAATATGGTAGCCACTGGCCAGATGTCACCTTTAAGTGTACTTGAAATTTCTGAATTGAGATCTGCTATAGGTGTAAAATATACCAATATGGATTTTGAAGACTTAGTATATGAAAAAAAGAATATAAAATAATCTCATTTTAATTTTTAAAATATTGATTATATTTTGAAATGATAATATATACATATTGAATTAAATAAAATATATTAAGAAAATTAATTTCATCTGTCTCTTTCTACTTTTTAAAATGTGGCTCCTGGATAATTTAATTCACATATGTGGCTTGTATTTTATTTCCTTTGATGAGCACCTTCCGAGGTGATTCTAGTATACCTATGGTTAAGAAATACTGCCCTGAAGGATTCAAAAGGAATATGAAGATGTCTGCCCGCAAAGAGTTCACAATCTAATGGGGGCAGAGAAAACTGCAAATGAAACAAAGTAACACGGAACTAGTTAGGAATTCAGGGCTAAGGAAGCCCACGAGAGCAGAAATAATCCAATTTTTAGAGGAATATGAATCTGACAGCTGTACTGGGCTAGAGTTAGACCAGAGCCGCCTGAGCACACGGGTACATTCTTGGCAGTTGGGGTAATATTGGGTTTTTTTGAGTGAGGAAAATTGCTTAATCCAAAAGAGCATGTGTTGTTGTTAATGGATGATGGGACATTAGATTGGACGGATTGAATGGGCCAAGAGGCAGCAGACCTTTCCGGCTGGTTGAGAATGAGCACAGAATGCGTGGAGCACGTTAGGGAGGCTGAGCTGGCAGAGCTGAGGGAAGATTGTGAGGCTGGTTGATGGAGTCAGTATGTAATGTGAGGCTCGGGTGTTTGCATGTGATTGGATAGATTCAGAGCCCTTACCGCCTAAAAAGAGGAATGGCATGACTTCGTGCAGAGGATTCTGTGTGCTGATGAATTCCAGATCTTTCTCTCTAGCTCCAGTTTTCCTCAGTCCTGCCTGTATCGTGTGTTCTGTGTGCTGATGATTCCCAAATCTGTCTTTCTTTTTTTTTTTTTAAAGTATTTTTAATTAAGGTGTGTACATTTTTTTTTTTTTTAGATTTTATTTATTTATTTATTTTCCCCCCCAAAACCCCAGTAGATAGTTGTATGTCATAGCTGCACATCCTTCTAGTTGCTGTATGTGGGACACGGCCTCAGCATGGCCAGAGAAGCGGTGCGTCGGTGAGCGCCCTGGATCCGAACCCGGGCCGCCAGCATCCGAGCGCGCGCACTTAACCACTAAGCCACGGGGCCGGCCCCCAAATCTGTCTTTCTAATGCCACTTTTTCTCCTGAGTTCCAGAACCGTATCCATCTGCTTACTGCTCATATCCATGAGGATGCTAATGGGATGCTACCTATATCTGTTGCTCAGAATAAACTTTGTTATAGGATCTTAGGAAAAATAAAAAGTCCAATTTTTAATGTTTTTTAAAGAGAGAAAATGCTTTCTTTGTGTTAAAATCTCTGCCAAAAGAATAAATGTCATGACACATTTTTTGGGAGGTTCTTGTGGGAATAGGGGAAGCCCGAGCTGAAGGACAGTGTTATTCGAGTGTTAGTAGCACACTTCATTTCTACTATCTCTTCAAGAACTGGCCTCCGGCAGCTGTATTCCGCTGTAAGTAAGGAGCTCTTCAGTTGTCTAGGACCTGATTCATTCCTGTCCCTCTTCATCTCTTCTGTAAAGGAGATTTTTGATTGGACCAAAAGATAGGATTTTTAGCTGGGAGGAGGGGAGGCACTTTTTCTGAACCAAGTTTCCCAAGGTATTTGGACATTATCAGAAATAAAATGAATTTGTGGTTCTTTCTTAAAAGATTTTTCTTTCTGGAATGTGTATTTTTTTTTTTAAATAAAATGAAAAAAGACATTAACAGTTTAATTCTTTGAGGAAAATACTTTGAGTACACCATCTATATTTTCTTTTTAAAGATAAATGGTATTGCATATTTTACATTTTTTTCATAGATATATAAACATGCTTAATAGAGTACTTTTTTTTTATTGTGAAATTTTTGTTGTATATTATTGTCAGTCACCATATAAATGCATCCCTCCACCCCTGTGCCCACCTCCCACCCCCTTTGCCCCTGGTAACCACCAAACAGTTCTATCTGTCCGTGTGTTGATTTATCTTCCACATATGAGTGAAATCATGCAGTGTTTGTCTTTCTCTTTCTGGCTTATTTCACTTAACATAATACCCTCCAGGTCCATCCAAGTTGTTGCAAATGGGAGGATTTTGTCTTTTTTTATGGCTGAGTAGGAGTCCATAGTATATATATACCACATCTTCTTCCACTCATCAGTCACTGGACACTTGGTTGCTTACACTTCTTGGCTATAGTGAATAATGCTGTGATGAACATAGGGTTGCATAAGCCTCTTTGGATTGTTGATTTCAGGTTTGTTGGGTAGATACCCAGTAGTGGGATAGCTGGATTGTGAGGTATTTCTATTTTTAATTTTTCGAGGAATCTCCATACTGTTTTCCGTAGAGGCTGCACCAGTTTGCATTCCCACCAGCAGTGGATTAGAGTTCCCTTTTCTCCACATCTTCTCCAGCATTTTTTGTTTTTTGTCTTGGTGATTATAGCCATTCTAACAGGCGTGAGGTGATATCTTAGTGTGGTTTTGATTTGCATTTTCCTGATGATTAGTGATGTTGAACATCTTTTCATGTGCCTATTGGACATCTGTATATTTTCTTTGGAAAAGTGTTCATTTCCTCTGCCCATTTTTTGATTGGGTTGTTTGTTTTTTAGTTGTTCAGTTGCATGAGTTCTTTATATATTATGGGATTAATCCCTTGTGGGATATATGGTTTGCAAATTTTCCCAGCTGGTGGGAATGCATTCATTTTGATCCTGGTTTCATTTGCCTTGTAGAAGCTCTTTAATGTAATGAAGTTCCACTTGTTTATTTTTTCTTTTGTTTCCCTTGTCTGAGTAGACATGGAATTCAAAAAGATCCCTTTATGGCCAATGACAAATAGTGTACTACCTGTATTTTCCTCCAGGAGTTTTATAGTTTCAGGTCTCACCTTCAGGTCTTTGATCCATTTTGAGTTAATTTTTGTGAATGGCGAAAGAAGGTGGTCTACTTTCATTCTTTTGTG